AAATTGTCCTCCATATGGGTGACTTGAAGTCTTGCAGTTCGCAGGCTATTGTCTAGTGTTGGAGAGAATGGGATGGGGAGGGACAAGTGACCAAAGGTACAGGCTAAGTGTCTGAGTCTTGGTTGCAGTCACAGCTTGTGCTGATATTCAGACTTCTGAGAGACCTCATGTCTGGACGGATACAGGATGAACAGGATGAGTGCTGTGTTCTGAAGTGGCCATCAAAACTTCCAACCTAGCTGAGTGCATCTCTCACTCAGCAAATGCAGCCACAGCATGGCCAGGTGACAAAACATGAAAGCACTTCCAAACTAGTTAGCAAGCTAAGCCAAACCCTGAGAGCCCTCTAATGGTGGTGACTGTGTAGGCCCCAGCTTGCTGAGCCAGCTCCTGCAGTCAGTTCCACAAAGCAGAACCTTTTCACCAAAACCTTGTTTCCAATGTTGAAGTCACTGGCACCAACTCTCACACAAAACAGACATGAACGTGTTTATTACTCACACAGGCGGCTTTCTAGAAGGAATGCTGTGCCTCTGGGAAGGTTCAAGAATTACTTGAGCAGGCAAAACAGAGCAGCTTGGTTTTAGTAGCTTGGAGGTAGGGATGGCAAGGGACCTTCCCATTCACAGGCTATGACTGATGGGCTGTAAATGCAGAGCAGGTAGTGAAGGCCTAGCGCCTGAGCTTTCTTACCAGCAGGGGGCAAAAGCAGCAATGGTGAACTGTAAAAATTTCTGGCAAAAATTAACAAGAAAAGGATGATGCTCTACTACAAAATAATAGAGTACAAAATTCATCTGGTTTGTGCTTTTGAGAAGTGGCTTCACATTATTTCATGATCTTAAAAGCAGAAAAATAATTTAGGGGAAAATACCAAACCAGTGATTCCAACTAACTCTATCTTGGCCTCCCATCACCGAGAAACCTAGATTCTCATCACAAGGGAAGCCTCGCTGAGCCTCATTGTCAATGAAAGGAACAGTGAGGCTCAGCCCTGGACAAAGAACCCTTCACCCTCACAGGACAAGTGGACGTCTACATCTTTGGGTTCCTCGCCCTGCTCTTTTAGTTTGCGGGTACAAGCCTATTCTTCCCCTTACTTGAAGGTGCTTCCGCAACCAGAGTCCCTCAGCCAGCATTTTTTACTGCAACACTTGGCATATTTTGCCTTACGCCATTTATCTTATCTTTCAGTGTATTTGGTTTACATTATTTTACTTTGGCAGCCAGACTACAAGCTATCTGACTGTGAGGGTCATGATTGATCTGTCTTTGCTCTCATTACTCACCCAACTCTTGCTGATAACACAGTAGATGTCTCGTGTGTTTAATGAGCAGGTGAATGAATGAACAGGATCCCAGGCCCTATTATTTTTGGAAATATGCAATGTTGTTATAACCAAGTTAACAGTAAATCACTAGAGGGAACTTCTGATTTCAGTTGTATAGAAAACAAAAGCCCCTGCATTTGACATATACAAACTGCTAATGTCTTTCAGTCAGGATTTGTGTGAGTTACTGAAGAATTTTCCTTCGGTATTTGGGCAGATAGGATCCTCACTAATCCCTCTCCTCCATGGGGAAAAAAAAATGAGAGTAGCTGTCAGGGACAGCATCTAGTTCCCACGTGGTTTCGAAGTGCCTTGCAGGTGGCTACTTTCCACCTCCCACTTCTTCATCACTGTCCGGGAGAGCTGGAGCCAGAAGTATATAGCACAAAGGCACAAGCTGACTGCAAGGCCCTGTGACCGGTCAGAGCTAGTAAGCAGGGGAGCAGGAACAAGAGCAGCACCTTCCGCTTCCAAAGTCCAGGTTACGACCACGTCCCAACACTTCTTCCTCGGAATGGGACTTGCGGCTCTCCTTTTCTATGACGCTATGAATACTGGATTAAAAGAAAACTCATTTCATGCTGACTTTGTAGCAAAAATACATGATTCCAAGATGTTACCTAACTCGCTTTATGGAAATTAGACTAGGATCTATGCAGCTTTGCAGAGATGAGCTCTGCCTTCCCCTTCCAACAGGCCCATTCTTGGTCCAGGTGGCCTTTTAATCAAGAAGCCAGGCCATGTTGAATAAACTGTTGCTTCAGTAACACAGGCCTACAATTTCTCGTCAGCACAGAGAATGTGGGTCAGTTTCCTACTAAAGGGAAGTCTTTACCCTCTACATTAAGTCATTTTCTTAACTGGGCACTTCTACACATACCATGGCATTAGTATCTTTCAGTTCTCATAACTTTCACCCTTTGAGATATAAACTGTCACTTCCTTTTACTAGATAACGAAACTACAGTTTAGCAGGGTCACAAATGGCCAATAACTGAAACAATACCTAGAGAACGGGAACAATTGGCCTGCGATGAGGTGTACCCCAAAGTGCTGGGGTTTTGTTTTGTTTTTCTGTCTTCTGCTTTCGATGAGCACACAATCAAATTGTAGAAAATAATACACAAAGACATTAGGGAGACGTGAACCACAGCTTGCGTTTGGGAAAAATCAAAATCATGGCTAAAGGTGATCTTCCTGTTTTCTCCCAATATGTATGGAGACTACTGTGAGGTCACCTGCAGCCTACAGATACCTGGAGGAGACAGAGCCTCAAGTCAGACACAAGCCTGACTAAATCCAGTGATCTTTCCACAGGAAAACACTGCCAGTCTGAGGACAGCCTCAACAAGCTTGCATTTAGATGGATCCCCATCAGCACTAATACTGACAAGACAGTCTTAGTCAGCAGTCTGCATGTGTATTTTGCTCGATTGGTTTTTATCTTACTACCACCCTCCTTGTAAAGTTCATCCCAGCACCCTTGTTTCATGACTGTGATTGACCATGCAATCCCTCGAGGGGCTGCACATCCTCATCTGTAAACCAGCTGGGATGTAGGGGACTGGACTCTCACATTAGACCTGTCTTCTAACCTCTCCTATGGGGCCAGCTACTGCTTCTCTTAAGAGGTCCCCAATTAGGACAAGACAAACCACAAGACCACTTTAGCATTACTTGCCTCACTGCAGAAACACTACAGAATTCAAGCCAAATTCACTGTGATTAACAGTGGAGTGGCCTTCCATACTCTCCAAGAGTGAACTGTACTCTTGCTATAATTCAGTGTATATATGGCCTCAAGAGAAGCACACCATGGCAGAACAGGGAGTTCAAACACTACAGACAAGGAAGATGCTGGACTAATTACATAAAAAGTTAACTCATTTTAACTAGTTTTATTTTTAAACTCTTGGTAGAGTACCTAACTTCTAGTACGTAACAACTACAGATGGAATGAATCTCCCTGTATTGCTCCAGGAATGACAAGAAAGCAAGGGTCAAACTAATCAATTGACTGTCACTTGCTTTTCTTCTACATCTTTCAAAGGCCTTGCCTGGGTTCTTCCTCCAGTGTAGGGGAACTACACTGCCTTAGTAACCAGGTAGGAAAGTGAAGAATGAAGTGAGAAGGTATTTGAAATGAGGCGCAGAGCCGGGTACGGTCCGCAGTGAAGCTCATACACATGGACAAACGGGCACGGGCGTTTAAACATTAGCTGGCACCTAGAAAGGAACAGACAGACTTATTAGAACACTTGTGGCTGGGGGAGGAAACAGCTGAGGAAGGTTCCAGTTCTCAAATACAAGCCTAGAAAGCATGCAAGTCGGGAAAAAAAGAGGCAATTTCCAAAGGCTGGATCTGCACGGCAGCTCGCGCCAGGCACTCTTCTGCAGCTGAAGAACTGTCTACTAGCGAGCACCCTGGCAGGCGGGCCAGCAGATGTCACATCAGTATTCTCTTACTGTTCCAAGACACAGACGGCATTTTTTTTTTCTGTTTTCTTTTGCTAAGCAAACTATCCAGTTGCCATGACTGATAAGCTGGAACTAGATTTTCAAGCTGTAGTTTGATGGCTTTCAGATTCTATAGGTTCCTAAGTTTGCAGTGGTTGCGCAGGGGTCGTGGGAAGGAGAGCCCCTAATCTGCAGCTGCAGCCATGACTCTTCATTAATTTCACAGGGCAGATTTGCAGGACTGCAAATCTTCACTCGGGAAAGAGGGTTGCCACTGTGAGGGACAGAACCTGAACTATGATTAAATGGGAGCCACTCGGTTTATTTAATCAACATGGTAGATAGCTGCAAATTCACTCTACTTAGCACGGCCTAAAATATCCAAAGGGACAATCAGATTCCTGCTCTGTTTGAAAGCCAAGGCACGGCTGTGCTGCTGCAGAGATGGGAGGAATCGGAATGCTGAGTGGAAAGGCAGCTGGAGGTTCCCGGCCCTGCTTATCTCAAGCAAACCCTAGCACCGCATGCACCCTCCCACTGCACACTGTGTGACAAAGGTTCCAGTCACTGTTACTGCCCACACGAATCCGCCACCTACAGCAAATTCTGTCTGTGGTGCTTCTGGGAGTCACCACAGACAGAATGGCTCTAAGTGATTGAGCCATTGTGATGCACTTTAATTGGATTGTCTTCTCATTTCTAAGATTTTGGAATATGAGATGTAATTTCATTATCAAAATGTGGAGTTTTCTCTAACTGAAAGCAAGAAAAACTAGTTCACCACTCTGCTCTCTCCTTACCCATCCTCAAGAGGACATTGCCACCAATAAAAAATCTGGGGTCATTTAAGTCTTTTTTCTAAGAAAGCAGAAGTTTAGCTCTTTGGTTTGTAAGCACTCCTGAATATAAGATAAGGACTTGTTGCTGAACAGATGTGGAGGCCTGTGAAATCTCATTCCAAATTCTCACTTCTAGTCTGAAACACATACAGCTATCTTCCCTCACATACTACAATTTCTACAAAAAGCACATGGGGAGACTCAGTTTTGAGCAGGACGCTGGTGATGCTAGGTTGATTCTGTTCAAATACACGTGGGAGTGGGGACCTGTTTATCTTTATATGATGGTATTCTGAACTGCATCTTGAACTAGATAAAATGCTATGCTGTCAAAGAACACAGTACAGACAGGAAAAATAGCATAACACAACCCTTTGTCTTCCGAAATTCATATTTAATTAAAAAATGAACATCAGTGATGAAGAAAGTTATCAGTTTAATGCTTGATAGAACATAAAGAAATTTCAAAGTCAAATAGTATGCACTCACTTGAAGAAAATATTGTTACCTAATGGTTTGTTCATCAGTAATGAAAATAGATATGCCAACCTTCCCACATTGTTGGTTGAAGCCCACATTATACAATTCTTCTGATAACTCTTAGCACATATCAGAGGAAAGAGTATGAAATGGTATGAGACCTAGGGGAAAAAAATGCCAAATTTGCTGGATATGTTAGCATCTGTTTGCATGTTCCCATCTGCCTTGGCTATGGCATAGTTCTCACCTATGAACTCCTTCACAAAGCAAGCAATTTCTAGACTGACGTTTTCAACACTATCCGACTAGGGTCAACCCATCCTCTGGCACATCTGCAATGAAAAGATAATCCATGGCGGCAGAAATCTCCCGGCCAAAGGGAATGTGTGTCACTTCTGGTGGCACTTAATGATTCAGTCTCACACTGGTACAGGGGATCAAGAGACACCATGCTAGACATCTCCTATCACTGAAGGGAGGGGCTGATCCCACTGGGGCATGCACACGGACGCAGCCAGAGTTACACTATCACAGATGACGCACATTATAATAGGTAGGAAACGGCAAACTAGGGAGGAGCAAAATCAACGTCGATTTAGTACCAATACAAATTCCAAACACAGGGGCAAAGCGCTACAGTGGCCGCCTACTAAAGCCGTGGAAACGTCTAACTTCTAAGCAACTTCGGCTAACAGCATCATCTCTCCTATTTGGGACAAGGTACCTGTTAAAGCTCTAAAGAGGGATTTGGGAAAGGGAAATAACAGGGAAAGAGCACTGCAAACTAGAGTTTCTACAATTCTAGAGCAATCTGGCTAGAATCAGGACACAGGCCACGTCTACTCCACAGTACCATCAACAACCAGGGAAGGAAAGGGAAGGACACTCAGTTGGGGGAAAGAAGAAACTGGTATTTCTCTTCTTTAAGGGGTGGAATATCTTCTCAGATGGTAGCTATAGATCTTGACGCAGTGGTCCCAACAGTCCAGGACCAGCAGCTGCCCCTTAGGCGTGAGGGCAATGCCCACTGGACAGGTAAGACCCTCTCGAATAAGAACACTGTAGCCCCCACCCTTGGGAAAATGGAGAATTTCCTTGCGGCTGCTATCAGCTACAATGAGGTCACCCCGAGCATCCACACACATGCCAGCAATGCAGCGGAAATCCTCATTTTCCGAGAAGAAGTGACTGATCTGCCGGCCCAGCTGCCCGTCAGGGCCCACGGAGCCAATGGAGAAACCACCCTCCAGGTGGTGTTCATTCTGCCGGTTTTCCACATTGAGACCCAAGCCTTGGGTGAAATAGACTGTGCCTTCAGCATCGCAGGTGACGAACTTGGGCCTCACAGCACTGCACAGACAGCTGTATTTGACGACTCCTGCTCCTCGGTCCACAGTGAAACACCAAAGCTTCCCGCCTTCCACATCAGTCACCACAAACTGGCCAGATGGTAGGGCTGTGATGCCCCACGGTTTGCTCAGCTGGCTCCTATGGCAGGCCACGCAGTGGCCATCCAGGGTGTAGACTTTAAGGGAGTTGTCATAGCTGTCAGTCACGCCAATCAGGCCATGGCAGTTCATGGCCACTGAGAGAGGAGTGAGATTGGGCAGATCGGCTCCGAGGAAGCTTAGCACAAAGCTGTCAATGCCACTGGGGCTGCGACGGATCTCCTTCAGAAAGCCTTTGCGATTGAACACTTGGATGCGATAGTTGCCACGGTCAGCGACCAGCACCTCATTCTGACTGGTCACGTAGAGACTGACTGGAAGGTTGAACATGCCTGGGGTGCTGCCTTTTGCCCCCAACTTCTTGAGAAAGAGACACTGCTGGATACTGGGGGCTGCCTCGGAACTCCGCTGTTTGGCAGGTGAAGCCCTCGGGCTGGCAACCACTTCCTCAGGGCTCATGTCCACTTCTCTAAAGGTGACAGAGGCCGAGGCAGCCGATGCTGTTGCCCCCTCCGTTGCCCAAGAGTCTTCCATGTTCACTGTCCGGGGTTTCTTAACAGCTTGCCCGATTTGCAGGGGCCCGACATGCCCTACTTTAAGGAGCTCCACATCTTGCAGGGTAAGCTCCCGGGGCAGGCTGGCAGTGAGCTCGGGCTCCTCCTCATCTGCTGTCTCCTCCAGCAGGGCTACATCGGCCTGCTTGATCTTGGCTAGAAAGTAGTCACAGCGAGACACGGCCTGCACCTCTGCGATGTTGAGCAGGTAGCTCTGTTCTTCTACCAGCTGACTGTTGGACTTCTCAACCTCGGCCAGAGAGCCTGTGAAGAACTTCCGAGAGCGGGCCAGCTCTTCCTGGACCCTGCGCTCTTCGTGGCCATACTCTTGAAGAACAGCCTTATACCTTGCCTGAAGGTCCCTGGAGACACCTTCCAAGGCTGCCTTCCGCCTCTGCAGCTCTCCCATAAGTTCCCTTAGGCGAGTCAACTTCTCCCCGAAGTCCCTCCGCCGTTCCTCAGCTGCCTCCTTGACAGGGAGTGTACAGTGGCCAGGGGGTTGATGATCTGCCTCCCGGCAGGGCTCGCACAACACCAACCCACAGCTTCTGCAGAACTGTCGAGGCAGCCTCCGGCCACAAGCTCGGCACATGAGCAGACCTACAGCCTCACTGAGCCCGGCTGTGTCGATGATCTTCAGCACTGTCAGGTTATCTGTCAGCTGGGTCAGGCTGGTGATACGAGTAATCTTGCTGCAAAAGGGACAGCGGACGCCATTGATGCTACTGGCCAGGAGCTTCTCCAGACACTGGCGGCAGATGGTGTGGCCGCAGTGCAGCAGCTTGGGCCGCAGCTGCTCTTCCGTGAAAGACTCCATGCAGATGGGGCATTCTAGCACTTCCCGGAGAGCATCCAGGTTCAGATGAGAAGCTGCTGCTGCGGCAGCCATTGCTCGTCCTGCAAAGGTTCCTGCTAACACAGCCCAGAGCTCAACAGCTTAACTTTCATGCCCCAGAGTCAAATTCCTGCTAGAGAGAAAAACAAACCATTATTCATTTGTCTACTTCCTATGTAAGTTAACCCTGCCCTATACTATAGTTATAATCATCCACTTAATCATTTACTTATCTAACAAATGTTTTATTGCAGTCATGGTTTCTCAGGCAACGGTGACACACAGGAAAAAGAATCATTAAAACATTATGTATGGGTGAATTCGGGGAGGAGCCAAAACCCCCTAAAGGTCAGTTTCCCCATCATCCATAAAACAGAAATGACAGCATCTATCTTATATGGTTATTGGAAGGGTTGACTAATATGAAATACAGCAGAAACGTACAGTCTGCCCTGCCCAGCAGAGACAGTTCAGTGGGACAGTGGGTAGTGATGGAACCTGACAGCTGAGCCAGGCTGCTCACAGGTGGTGCCACTTGAAAGATTAAGTCCTGAAAGCAATGAAGCAATGAGAGGCAAAGGTATTTTAAGCAAAGAATACTGTGTGAGTTTAATGTGGAAGACTTTCTATTCTGTCACAGAGTTTATGGTCTGTGATGTTTATGGGCCAAGGAATTATTCAGAGAGAAGATTCTGATGACTAACCCTAACCCTTGATCCGGAAAACTTAAGGTAAGGAAGTCGCAGACTTTTCATTTGTCTACCTTCCTACCTAGCCTAAGCATCATATACAAGACATTGAGGCTCAGCATACATATCCTGCCCTACTTTAGAGAGACAAGATGAGAAAGTTAGGAATCAAGGCAGCCTCAGTCTGATAGATACTGAAAGAAAATTGAATTTTAGAGAGGCCGTAGCACTTGGGCCTGGGAGAACACAGAAATGAGATGGGAGAGCAAAGCAGCAGGCCGAGGGCACGGCCTTACCAAAGCTGAGAGAGCAAATGCTAAGGGCTAAGTTCCGTCTGTTGGGAGGAGAACAGAGAACTCTTGATTTCTCTATATTTAGTTTCCTGCATCTGAAAACTGGAAGCAGTATATCCTTTACTGGGTTCACGGAAGGATCAGATGAAAGAACACACTACTGTGAGTGCACCAGGAAGGCCCTAAGTTAACTCTGGGTCTCTCTTAGCCTCATGGTAAACTTGCAGAATATACTGGGAGCCATGGAAATGCGGAGCGGTACTCTGGAGGATGATTGGCGATATTCAGGACACAAAATAACTTCCTTGTGAAAGTCAAATAGGAAATTCACTGTGAAGGGTAGGCTGGGACAAGAGCTTTGCAGCAAGGACGGGATGTACACTAAGATGAGAAGGCTCTGTGTGGGGAGGGGTCAGAGAAACCAAAGGCCCACATGAGGCAAGTGAACTGGGGGCAGGTAGAAAAGCAAAAACTCTCAGTGAGATGAGAAAAACAAGAGGCATAAGGGACGCAGCAAAGTGCAGAAGATGACCAAATACTCAGGCCCAGCTGAATTGAAAAGCAGTGGTTCCTCATCAGAACAGCTCATTTCTGGCTTAAGTACCGTCCATGTCACCCAAGCTGTAGCGTGAATATCCCTACTCTTCTGTAGACATACTGCTTATGAGACAGACTGCAGTCTTATGCCATTGTTGACTTACACCTAAAATTAGAATGAATACATCCAGCAAAGTAAGGCACATGAATAAGCCTTTCTTAGGTGCAAATCTTATCCGCAGTCTTCTGATACGCAGTTGGCCATTAAGGAGGAAGAGGCAATATGGAGGTTAGCCTGGTCTGACAGACAGCAGCTAGGTGAAGAAGCCCTCTGTATCTAGGTAACTCATGGGGCATCCTAGGACCTGCTCTGTGCTGCGGCGCTGTCCACGCTCATTTTCACCTAATCCTCGCTGTAACAATGCAGTGTAGACGAGATTTTATTGTCCCGCTTTACCAATGAGAAAACTGAAGTTAAAAAAAAAAAAAAAAAAAACTGGTTCAAAGGTCTCAGTTCAAACACGGCAGGACCTTCCAGAACAAATACCTTTACTTATTTTTAAGACAATATTGCTTCCAAGCTTTTCCTAAAAAACCAAAAAAAAAAAAAACCCCAAACTGTCATTCAGTATTTATTAACAAGTGCTTTTGCCTGCACTCCAGGATACACTGCCTTTCACACATATACTTTTCTCCCTGAAAATGGAGCAATCATCTGGCTCTAAGATTCAGACAACACAGAGTGGGTCAAATGGATTTATTAGCTGAGGGACCCAGTTCCACACTCTTGCTTTTCAACCCATTACAGCTAAATCCATGCCTTGACAAAACCACAAATTACGGGTAGTATGAACCTTAAATGGTCTCCTGTGGGTATCACAAACTGTGAATGCTGAATTCTCAAATGCCTTGGGCCTGGGGCAGTGCCACAGAAACACCAACAGAAGCCCTGACTAAGGATCCACGCAGCCTCTCAACCCTAAACAGCAGCTTTTTTTCTGTGCCCTGTCATCTGGGACAACAGACTGAGGGCAGCATGTGGTGCATGGATCCCAAGCATCAAGCATGTTACCTTACGTTGTGCAAGGACATCTGTTCTTCCTGGAGCTGGCACTGCAGACCAGCTTGCTAAACAAGTCTGCCAACGTGTAAAAATACCAGCAAATTCTTTCCCCAGATTTCTGGAATATTACACTACCTCTTTCAATTCAAAAGCTTTTTGCCCATGTAAGCTAGCAGCTTATGAAGGGAATTGACTATGCTCACAACCGAACACAAACTATTTCTCCAGTCCACAGCTTCACCAGGTTCTCCAAAAAGATGTCCAAAATCCATGGCCCGAAGCTTCTGGATTTGGGGAAGCACACACCTGAACAGTTCCTGAACTCCTACTTCTATTGCCACCATCACAGAACACAGCTTTCACTCGGCTGACACAGCACCAAAGCCGGGCTGACCCCGACCCAGCCTCTTCTCCAGAAGGGCCTGTCTGACCACTGCTAATACTGAGAGTGGATCACATGGAAGCTTCCCTGAAAAGGCTACTCACTGAATGAAGCTGCCTCACTATACCAAGCCTTTAGGTGTGCTGCCCCACTCCTGTCAGCTATAAAAATCTGTAAAGTCAACACACTATTTACAATCTTGGCTGCCTCCACAAGCCCTGGAACAAATGTCACATTGTTCACTCTGTACCCCAAAGTCTCGCCCTTCCACGTTCTGTAACTTCAGTTTAGCTTGTCCCCTCGCCCCCTCATCATGATTTACATTGTCCATCCCAAACTGGCACCAGCACATCTCACGACTACAGATCTTGTAAAGCCGTATATGTTCTCACAGATCTAAGACAGCCTGGACCTCTTCTGACACCCCTGAGTTTTGCCAGTCCGTGAAAGAGGTAGTCGGGTAGTAGAAAGAACAAAGAGAAGACAGAAAACAACCCTTGAAGTCAGACAGAACGGGACAGGATTTTAGCACTATCACATATAGAATGTGGGGCAAATGCTAAATTACCTAACCTCTCTAGGTCTGGCAAGTTATTCAATCATTCCAAGCCTGACAAATTCTTTAACCTCTCTCTGGCATATGTATGTATGTACGTATGTATGTATGTATGTATGTATGTATGTATGTATGTATGTGTGTGTACACTTATCCATTTATGAAAATTAGGAATAATGCATATAGATACTTATGCTGGTAACTGGTAGGCAAGCAATGCCTTTTCAATAGTTGATGACAATAACTATTAACGTAATTCTGTTAGCAACATTAAGAATCATAACCAGTACTTGCGTTCACAAATAATTCAGTTTATAATCTGCATTCTGAAGGGAAAGAAGAACTGCCCTCATGGACTGCAAAGGCATATAAAGTTTAATAAAAAGGACTGGTCAGCTTGGGAGGGATTTGACTGAGACTAATGAGTAAATTAAATCACAACTTCTGATCAAAATACAAAAGGCAGGAGCCCTTCTTCATAATTAGCAGAGATTAAGTGTGAAAAGCTAGAGTGAGTAGTGATCTACCGACTGAGGAAACTGAGACCAAGGGAGGGAAATTAAGTGTCCACACATCACAGGGCAGAACCAGGGCCAAGGGGCACGGGCCGGGAGTGACAGTGCAGTCAGGATTTGGGCATTCTGGCTCTGTCCCTGCTTGAGCACCTACACTGGAGATCTGGACAAGTTACCCAGCTTCTCAGCTTAGCTATGAAATGGCCTTTACAGCGGTACCCCTCACAGGGTAAGGATTAAAAGAGACCGAGCAGAAAGCACATAAGCAGCACCAAGCTAGGCACAGAACAGCTTTTATTACCATTAGCAGGGACAGGGACAGCAGGAGCTACTGCCTGCCAGAGCCACTACCCAGATTGTTTAGGAAATAAGCAGGCACCTTTCAAAGGCAGACTGTACCTAAGGCCACAGACACCCCTTCAAGCCACTCGAACTCAGCCGCCTTGGAGATTGTCACCTGATCTGAGAAGAAAACGTAAGAACAGAACCAAGGTATAAAATCCACAGTCAGCGCTTGAGTCTCTATATAATGGCATCCTTTAGATACCTTTATCCCCATACCCCACTTTGTTTCTTGGGGGTTTAGGCCATAAGCAAAACTGAAGAACTTTAAGCAATTAATGAAGTAGATCTTTGCAGGGCACTTACTATTGGTCTAGCCCTGTGCTTGGGCCAGAGATAATTTTTACAATAAATGTATTTTTTTTTTCAATTTAAAAACTAGGCATAAAGGACAATTCAATAATTGGCACACTCACACGGTTTGTGGTTTTCTTTTTTTCTTTTTGAAACTTATCACTTCCTTTCAATGACGGTATTCAAGCTGCACTTCCTCCCTATGTACTTTAACCCAGTTTTAACCAAGTGTGAAAGTGTCTCAGTGCCACAGAGGCCACCCGCTAACAAAGAATTCCAGCACACCTGCTACTTCCCTAGCTCTGGCGGTGGAGACAAGCCTGTGAACTTTAGACTGAGGGCACTCATGATGCCTGCAGATAGCTAAGATCCTATCTAACTGCTACCTTTTGGCAAACAAGGAGTACTGCATGCCAGGCATCTTTTGTACATCACATGTATGCTCTTAACTGTGTGAAGGGCGTGTTATCCCAAATCCTAAGTGACGCCAGAACAGAGTAACCTGTCCAGGTTCTCCACCCACGGTGGCAGGCAGCAGAGCAGCACCTCGGATGCCCACCTGTGAACCCAGGGGCACATCACTCCACCCACTCAACGGTACACTGCTAGGAAGATCAGACAACTGTTCCCTCCAGGCAAAAGCCAGCTACGAGCTTGGGAAATGCACTCAGGAGTGATTTTTAAATTTTGCTGTTCTATCAGAAAGGCACAGTGCAGTCTCCCAAAGGTACCACATCTGCACACACACAAGAGAGCACCTTGCAAACTCTTTGTGACTTCTGGAGATTCTCTGGACACAAGCATGGGGCCCTGAACTGCCAGAAGATCCCGAAAACAACAGAGTCACATAGAACTGAGTGTACATGCCGTATTAAGCATTTGTTCTATGGCTTAGGATATATCACTTGGCTTTTTAACTTTTTGGTCTATAGAATAAGGAGTACCATTTAGACTGTCAGCAGGATAGCTAGTAGGCTTCACTGAGAGCACGGACTTTAATCAGCACCCAAGGTAACTGTGTTTTTAGGCAGAGCCTGACTCATGCTAGACCATCATTAACAAGCAAGCAGCAATAGCTTATTTCAAGGCTAACTCAATCCCTATCAGGCATTTTCCTAAGCGATGTGTGCTGATATTCCAGCTAAGTCTTCTGCCCTCGGCTCCAGTCTAATTTGTTTTTTAAAGCTGGCTTCAGTAACGTTGTATCTGGGTTTGGAATTGATAAAGGTAACATACCCATCTGGTCCAGGGACAAGAAACACAAGAGAGGCCAGCAGTAGCTGCTCTCCTTCAGTCTAGGACTGCCTTCCGCTTGAGGCCCACTGAGCTATTCCGTCAAGCCAGCGGCCTCCTTATCTCAGCTTGTAGCTCCCTACACCTCATCTTGCCTAACCCCAAGCTCCTTCCATTATTTCTCCACTGGCTCTGGTGTAAGAGCAAACTAAGAACAAAGTGCAGGACTTCTCCTGGTCAACAAGAATCACTCCACTGTAGAATACTGGGCCACCCCCTTTCCATTAGGAATAGCTGAGAAGGGAAGAAAAGCAGGCTGTCGCAAAGAAGCAGCGAAGGAGGAGATGTACTGTGGTGGGGATCTACGGCACTTTCCCTCTGCCCTTTTTAGTTATGTGGCCTTGGACAAATGACCTCCTAAGCCTTAGTTTCACCCGCAGCGCTGGACATAGTGAAGCATAGTTAGAAGACTATAATGAGAAGACAGTACATATATCATCTTTTACAAACAGCAGTACGTTCTGAGCGCTTACTGGGCACCAGACAGTAAGCATCCTGGTTTATTTCACTGGTTTATTTCACTAAGTTCTCACAACAATCTTATCACGTAAGTCCCTAAAGGGCTAAGCACTGAGAGGACAAGTAACTTTAAAAATTAGAGAGCAGGAAGGGAGAGGGCCAGGACCTGAACTCAGAGTATCTGAAGCCAGGTCCCTCCACTTTGACATAATTTGCATTTCAGGCTAGACAACACTTTACTGATTATTGTTATCTAGAAACCAACAGCTCCCATACCCCAACTACGACAACTGACAAGGTCTCCATTCAGACAGTGTCAAATGTTTCCTGGCAGAACAAACTCACCCCTCACCCGTAGCTGAGAACCATGGCTTTGGATTATGGCACAGGCTACAAACTCAGCACATGCAAGGCTCACCCTTGCTCCCCCACACTGTTTTGTTTCTCTCCCAGTCCTAACACTTTGGCTCAACACCTTGGAGGGCTTAAGCATCTCTCACAGCTTGGGGGACAGGTGACAGAAGACCTTAGTTTCCTGCTTCATTTCCCCTGCTCCTTCCCTTCTTCCCTGAGGCCTGTAAGGGAGGGTCTGCAGGGGGTAGGGGCTGGGCCGGTCAGAGTCACTGAGAATGCTCTGCCTGTCTCAGGATAAAAGGCCTTTAGTTAGGAAGAGGAAGGCTGTGCCCTTCAGAGAATGTCAAACTCTCCTTCATGACCTCTCAAGACTCATGATTTATTCCCAAATCCAGGCATTCTCCTTAATCGCGTTCATTCGTAATAGTTTATTTATACATTACTTTCAGGTCCCTGGATCTCCAGAACACCCTTTGGTTCAATTATGCAGAAACCAAAACAAACAAATAAACCCTCCTTTAGTAGCCTAAGAACCAATTGGCAAACTACAATCTAGTTAAAATATTCACACACACACACCCGACAATTCAATCTTCTACAAACTCCATTCCCAACCTAAATCCCAAATCTAGAATGCAACCTTCTAGACTCTATGTTGCAACCTTGCAACTCATCAATTACTTTCGCGTCCCACATCCCTCTGATACCACCTTTATTCAGTCTATTTTCAAATTCCCGCATCTACCACTCCTGTATGCCAGCTTCAAACTCCAGCCCTTCTATTTCTGCCTTCCTTCGATCTGAGCCCTCATCTGCATTTCCCCATCTTGTGCCACCTCCACCCACCCCCGTCCTGCCTCACGTGTTGCCTCCAAGCCTTTGCTGCGATTTGCTAACTAGATGCTGCTTCCCCTGGGAACTCACCCCAGTCTCGCCCAGATTCTACTACAGAAATCCCTTTCTCTTCAGCAATTAGCTTTTTCCAAGGCCCTGACTGTTTTGATCTCAGATCTTGCTTCCATTCCACCGATCGACTCAAAGCCCCTGAGATTCTGCCCACCAAGCCCCAACCTATTTTGTCCCTGCCTCCCAAATTCCTTTCTACTCCTAATATACTGCACCCAGACCTCTCCAGGGACTTCAGATCCCCACGTCTCCCACAGGTTTCACACAATCTCTCCGCAGGGCCCCCACATTACCTCATACCTCCCGAGATGTTGCAACTGCAAATATCCTCAGCCCCTTTGCTCCCCTCCCCCAGCTGCATCTCAGCCCCTCCGATTCGCTCCCGAGCCCATTCCTCCCCAACCCAGTCCCCGCCACACCGATCCAGTCCCCCAATTCCGCCTTTCAATCGTGGAGACCGGCGACCCACCACAGTCCCTGGTCGCAGACCCTCGCTCCCTCCCCCTACCTGACCGCCCGCGGCTCCGACGCGAATCCACCGCTGCCAGCCCACCCGCCCGCCGCCCTTTTGCGCATGCGCCACTGTGCACTTCCCACGTCGGCCAACCAATTCGCAGGACGGCCTGTCCATCGCTATGCCCCGCCTCCCCGAGGCATGCTGGGGCTTGTAGGCCCTCAGGCTCAACGCTCGTGGCCCAGCTGAAGAGAAAGGGGTGTCTCTGGAAACAGAGGCCATCACACTTTGTGATCCAGTTTTCTACCCTGACTTAGAGTCTAAACCTGGACAGTCAATGCTGATCTCCCAGTAGTAGTCTACAGAAAGGCCGGGCACCGTGCAGAAACGCCTCTTTGTACCTCAGCTTGGGAAAACAAACACTCTTTCAATGAGCTGATCCTGGGGCTAGGTATTTCTGCCATGACGCATTCTTCAGCCTAGTCGCTGAACACACTGCGTTTAGGAAGGAAGTTTTTTTTGCCAAGTACCGTGAAAGAAGCAGAGGTTGAAATGGACAAAGCCGTGCACTGAACCTTGTCACGGGGGAGGTTTTGTGGCCTCTGGGTCCTGAAGGTAGTTTGGGGACAGGTCTGTAGGAGCCAGCCATGATTAGCTAAATAAGAACAGATTGTTATGCCCAAATCAGCTAAGTCCTCACACAAGCCAACAAGGAAACTGAGTCCCGTATGTAAAAACAAAGAGCCTTTATTTTAATCAAGTTTGCAAGCTCGGACTCTCCCCATGTCCAACATATTGGAATAACTGGAGAGCCCCGGGCTCGATTAGAATTGGGTTTTTATAGTAGTAAAGGTGGATGTGAGGGGTCTCTGAGGTTTAGGAACACTGATTGGCTCTCATTTGTCTAGGGGTGTCCTGGTGAGGTGCACTGGCAGGTGATCCTATCTATAGCGGGTGGAGTGTTAGGCATTTCCTTTGAATGGTCTGTTCTTGGGTGTGGGTCGGGTAATTCAGCTTGTGGTTCCTCTTGCAGCCCGGCATTGCCCTAGGGTAAACTCCTGAGACTGGACCTCTTATTAAGTTTATCGAGGGCAGAGTTTTACTCTGGCAGGTGATAAAGGTTAGAAGTAAAGAACTTCCTTTGGGTGACCTGTCCATACTTGGTTTATCATGGCTGCCCCCACAGCTCCCTTTTCACAAGCAACGATAACCATCTTGGGCCCTGCTTTCCCCTGGTTTTAAGGAGGCAAGGAACTACTTAAATTAATTGACAACTCTGGACCTAGTGTATTAACAGGCACTATAGATAGTTGTCCTGTCCCCCATGCCAAGGGGTTTCCCCTTGTCTCAGCCTTTCTACTTATTTTGGGCAGGGGGCATGGGACAGCATGTTCCTTTCCACAACTACTTCAAGCTGACGTTTGGGGTGTTGTTATCCAGGCCCAAGCAGGTTGAAAGCCAAAGGCTAGCCAAAGGTGGGAGAGACATTTAGGCAATGAGGCACTCATAAGACTCTGTTAAAAACAAACAAACAAACAACAACAACAAAAAAAACAGGTGGTGTTCATATCAGCTGGACTGGCTCACATCAGCTTTCATGAAGTCCAGGGCTCGCCACCATTCAGAGCAGGTTGTAGTCAGCAACTGATGCTTAGATGCATCTGCCAGCCAAGTGGAAGCTTATTGAGATAAGTTTAAACTAGGAACAGAAGTTAAAATTTATTTACTTAAAGAAAAACCCATATTGTAGAGAAAGAGCAGACAATGGGCATCTGTAAACAGAAAGAATAGACTCACACCTTTGGGTCCTAGCTAAACAGTTGGCTAGCTTTGTGAAAGAATCTGGATACCTTTTGCTATCATTAAACTGACATTATAACTTTCCTAGCCACCAATACTATCAGAAATCTCAGAGGTATAAATAAAGTATATCTGAGTACAGTCCAAACAGTTTATGAATTTATTAAAAATGACAGGGGGGCTGGAGAGATGGCTCAGCGGTTAAGAGCATTGTCTGCTCTTCCAAAGGTCCTGAGTTCAGTTCCCGGCAACCACATGGTGGCTCACAACCATCTGGAATGAGATCTGGTGCCCTCTTCTGGTCTGCAGACAGAATATTGTATACATAATAAGTAAATAAATAAATACTTTTTTTAAAAAATGACAGGGACCAGAGTCCATATACATACAGTTAGTCATACCCAAGTCTCCATAACATTGGAGGCAGAAATACCCAGAACAGCAGTCTTACTGTTTAAGCCAGGACCATAAGACAAACTTTTTCTTTTTCTGTGGAAAAGGCACAAGGAAAATACTGACCTTATTTTGTCTAGGCAAAAGTGCAATCAATTCTCCAAGACCCTGCTGTTTGTTCACAGTCTGGACCAGGTCCTGGCAGCCGATGTTGCACTGGGGGTCATCTTGCCCAGTGGGCAGCGTCGTCGTAATCCATGCGGAGACCTCTTGGCGCCTCGTAATCTTCTTTAGAGACCTTGGGTTACTGCTAGGACTCGGGGTCTCTGTCTAATGTAATAAACTCTTTAATCGTTATTTTAAATGCCTTATTCTGCAGATCTCTGAAGTATGAGGGCTGCCGAGGTATGTCTGATTAGTCAAACTTTGTTTTTTATTACTTGCTTCAAGTTTGACTTTGAAAACATAGACAGGGAACTAAATAAGGCTTATTCCTGTAACTAGTTATAGCAGTACTTTAAAGATGACTGACTAACTTGTGATTTTTAACTGTCTATATAATAAGTTAGCAGCTTTTACAAGACTAGAATTCCATACTCTGTAATGACTTTGAATTAAAGCCAATAAAGAAACTGAATTAGTCATTTCGAGGGTAAACACAGAACAAGTTTACTTCTTGCTATTAATGCTTGTCTCTGGAAAAGGCAAGGAACAAGTCCCAGGTTGAAACATAAACAGGAGGGAGTCTAAGAGTTAGCATTGACCTAAGGTAAACTGAAGCTAAGGTCTACCTTTTTGTTGATCAACAAGGTGACCTGAAAAGGCTGCCCTGGGCTCTTTATTTTTCCCCCTTCACAAGTACCGTAATGGTGACAGAACTCCATCACTGGTCCTGTCCAAGGGCTCAGATAAGAAGAAGCAAGAGTTTAAGGTTGGAAGCAAAGGAGACCAGGTGAACAAGTTTTTATCTAGAATTTTGTTTTCTATCATTAGCAAGGCTATTGAGTCTCTAATTACCCCAGAGTGACTGACATGGAAACAGCAGTCTTTCCAGAAGAGGAGCTAAACCTTTTAGTATTAATACAAAAAATTTATGACTTAGTTTATCCAAATAGCTTAAACCCAACAAAGTTAGCAAACTCAAGGAGGCTACAACTGCAGTTTTGCCTATGCTGTGAATCTTGATTTAAACATCTGACACACAGGTGGTCCTAGACTGCCCCTGTACAACAACCTCCAAAAGACTGAGATTTAGAGGCTTGGATGCTGTTCCAAGCCCTCTACCAAACTACTTAGGTCATTGTCTTTTGCATCACAAGAAAAGAACAATTTTGTCTTTGGTTAGCTATTGGTGCTTATGGCTTTGACTTTAATGTCTAGGCTTTTAACAATAAAAACATTTTATAGCACAGATAAAAGCATTTTATAGCACAGATGTCTTATACTTTTTTAAAAAATTAAAAATTTTAAATGTCTTTTTGCAATATTAAGAATATTAAAAATCAAGTACTTTTTATAAAGGGACATGAGTCATCATGCAAAAATTTATCCCAATCTAAACTATCTTGGAGATTTTTTAGGCCTTTTGCTCTTTAATAATATAATTCTAGGGTGACCGCAGCCACTAGTCCAGGCAGAGGAGGCTAGAGTGGTGCAGGTTCCCCGCGGCGAGCGGCAGAGGGCTCATCCCGGACAGGCTGGTACCAGCTATGCGGCTGGGAGAGTCAGGCGGGCAGGTGCGGCGGATAAAAGGCTTATAGGACATAATAAATAAACATAAGGCTGAACATAAAGCTAAACATTTATTACTTAAAGAAGAGGCAGAGAGACATAGAGACATAGAGAAGACACATGTGCACACGCCGAGAGAGGGGACAGAAAGAAAAGGTTAAGACGGAGAGGTCAGAAGTGGCTGGGAGTGGGCATGGCTTGCCCCTTAAAGGGACCAGAGATCAAAAGGAATCACAAGGCCCACTGCACATGGTCACCTTTAATCAAGATGGTGGTGGAAACATGTGGCATCCATTTTTTTTAACTCTAGCAAAATGGCAATCCAAAATTTAAAATAGAATTTTGCCTTATTTTTTTTTAAATTACTCATGCATAGGTTTTAAGTAAATAAAACATGGGTCAAACAAAGGAAGATCCTTAATACAATTTTAAAAAACAGCATATAGCAGTTTTAACATTATCTATACCAAAAAGTCATCTGAATGTTTGTTAACCCAAATTTAGTAACCAGAGCTCAGTGATAAAGTCTCAGCTTCATGCTTGCAAGAAAATTTACACAGTCAAACTTTTTAACAAAACAAGCACATTTAGTATTTGCATGTATCAGAAACCACAGCAAACATAATTTAGACAACATAAAAAATCTTACCACAGTCTTTTTTGTGGTTTTTTTAATGGTGTATGGCTACAATATTTTAAATAAGAACAGAAACGTGCATTATAAAAAAACCTTTAAATTTATGTCATATAAAATCCTGTACCAGTGTGAAACATTTGAGACCAACAATAGGTTTTTTTTTTTTGGTACATTAAGCGATAATAATTTGTAGCCAGCCCCTGTAAATAATGATAGATATTTATAACGCATAGGATCTGAAAGAGCCCTTGACCCACGGAGCCAAACCTTGGTCAGGTTTGACCAGAAGTTTGAGGCATGCATCCCCCAGGGCAAGCAGAGGGAACTCATCCACCAGCATGGGAGGGGCAGGATGCAGCACTGGGGGAACAAAGATTGCTAACCTCTCCAAGCCATAGTAATTAACCCCAGATTCTCTGTTTGAAATCCTGTTGGGTTCCATCTGCCCCCTAACAACTGTGCCTGGCAGCCTATTGCAACAACAAGGCCGCATAGCCCAGCCATCCATCTACACCAGCAAGCTGCCCAGCGGCCGGCAGCCTTGTGCTTGGGGCTAAGACTGACTCCTTTTCATGAAAT